GTGGAAGTGGAAGTGGAAGTGGGGGGCAGCAAATGTTGCCATTATTTGATAAGCTCAAACATAGACACAGCGCCCTGCTCCCCAGCCTCCTGCTCCGCCATGTGTTTGTGTAAACAAATGGCAAATGCGAGAATAATCGCAGGAGATTAAAAAGTTTCCTGCGCCCGCACAAGCAAAAGGGGCAGGATTTGGAGCTGGAGCTGGATTTCGAGCTGGAGCTGGAGCTGGAGAAGTGGACCTGCTCTGACGCGAGACAAATGAGTGGCGCACGTGAAGCGTCTGGCCTTGTCTGTATATCCCTGGGCCTAGCTAATTTATGGCGCCTGCATACAAATTGCCCTGGCTTGCCGCCACACACACCCCGCACCCCACACCCCGCAGCCCAATCCACAAACAGTTTGGTTTTCCCCGGGAGCCGGAGGCAAAGTTACGGCAGGACTTAGTCTTGGCCAACAACTACAACTACGCCCAACCACCGGGAGCCGGGAATCGAGAATTGAGTGAGCAGCCAGCTGGCAATTAGGAACCCAAACACACGGCCGGATAATCCCTGGATGCACATATTCATCATTTTGAGATCATTAACTGGCCAGTCATGTGGGCTGTGTGCGGAATTCGGCTAGTTTTCTGTACTTAGCCAAGAAAACGAACAAAAAGCGATTGGTTGAGGAACAACAAAACAAAACACCTTTAACTTATTCAACTTCATTTTAAAAGCAAATTATTTATATCTTTCAGTTCAGAACTTGGAGAATTATAGGTATGACAACTCAAAGTTGAGCTCCATTTTGTTTGCAGAATATGGGAGCTAGGATTGCCAAAAATGACGACTGTGCTAGCCAACTTGTGATATTCTATGAAATAAAGATCAATATGTGAAATGTTTTAGCCTGCTTAAAAGATTGGCTAAAAAAACTTTAGATCTGCCGCATTTTCGGCAGTTTATTTTTCAAATTCAAGCAAAAGTTAGGGTAATCCCTAGCTAAAGTTGGTAACACATTCCCGTTTGAGTTGCTTCAAAATCCTGGGTTACTCTCTGAATAAAATGTTTTGTTGTGTGAAGTTCCTTCCTTTATCGGCCTTCGAGTTGCCCTTTTCGTTGTGCATTTCGCTGCATTTGCTGCATGCAAGCCAAAGTTTTTAATTAAATCAGGAACACAGCCGAACGCTAAAATACCTCGAGGGTGGACGCACTAGCTCCAGTTTTGGTGGTTTGCTGGTTTGGGGGTGACAGTGAGCAAGACGAATAGTTGCACCACCCTGGTAGCTGCGAGTGCAGCCGGCAGTAGTTTGTCTGCATCAGATAGCGAACTCCAATGTGCCAAGCCAGTGGGGAAAGAGGCAGGAGGCAGGAGGCAGGAGGCAGAGCGGAAAGGATACACGCCGAGAGTCCTTTTAGCAGGCGACGCCTCCTGCCGCTTTACAGAGCTCTGTTAGCGGCTAACAGCGCTTTTTTCTTTGGCGCCCTTGCTCTGGTCCCTGCTGGTGGTGGTTTGGGTGGCTCTTCGGGGTGGTGGGGCCTCGGAAAGTGGGCGTTGCCTTTCGCACGCACCCCTCTCGCTCGCTCCGCAGTGTCTCCTTCGGCGACTGCAGCCCACTCCTCGGCTATCGTCGCTTCTTCGCTCTGCTCAAGACGAAGGACACGACGACGACAACGTTGATGTGGCATTTGGCCACTCCCACGCCCACGCACACGCCCACGCCCACGCAGCCCACTCCCCGCCACCCACTCCCCTTGACACGGGGGCAACCCCCACTTGACATGTGGGTCAGGACATCTCTCCAGCGGCCGCTTGGGGATGGATGGTGGCCACTGGGTGGGCTGTGGGCTGTGAGGTGTGGGTCCAGCCGTCTCTTGATTGGCCCCGGGCGCAAGTTTCGGGAGCAGGGGGCCAAAGCATATTTATGGCATGCCCCAAGTGCATTGTCAACTGAGGCAGCGTGGAATGCGAAAACTATGTACGAGTATGTGGGATAGTTCCAATCTCAGACAGCTCCGTTCCACAAGGGCACTTGTGAGACCAGCAGCTCTATTAACTGCATCCTAATAAAGCCTGGGAAACTACCAGCCTAAACTCGAATGTTTATTCCACCTTATTCATGCTAGCTTTCAAGGATAATGTTTCGGTAATTTTTAAAAATATCTAGCAGTTAGCAAATACCGCCCAAAACTGAGCCATGAAATTACCAATAGGCATGGGTAATGTACCACCAAGTATGAACTTAGTTCTATAAGATATGGGTATTATTTTCAACCGATTGGGATGAAGGTGATGGAAAGGTACAACTATTGTTAAATTTATGAATATCTATCTAACTGATATAAGATATGAGCATCCAACTTGCATTAGAACGAATAAAATGCGATAAAAGGGGAATAAATTCGGGAATTCCGAAGACATAGTTTGAACGGACTCGGTTGCTCCCCTAAGTCCTTGGGTGAAATGGCCTGCACTTGGATGCCGGAGTGAATCTAATTCGCACAGAGCAACCCGATGCCCAGATGATGTGCGTCGAGAATCAGTTGGAGCAGGAGCAGGAGCATAATCGGAAACTGGATCAGGAGAGGAATATGCAAACAAGGTGAATTCTGGAATTTCGCTTTGAAGTCGACACAAGAACGGCGCTGGCAGTTGTCGCATTACAATGGGTATGGAATGGATGGGGTGCAGCTTAGACAAATTGTTTCTTATGCATATTTTTCGCTCTCCACTTGTCGTCATAGCATCTGGTAAATTATGCCGAGTATTTGCGTAATTAAAACATGAAAAGAGTTTGGCGCAAAACCCGTTTAATTAATCATCCTGATGGGCGGCGGTGCGGCGGTGCGGCGGTGCGGTGGTGGCTCTAGCCAGCGAATTTCACTGCCTCTCCCCTCAATCCGCATTGCCAGCGATTGCTCTTACGGCTTATCATAATATGGTCGGACACATTCCGCTCAGCCCGCTTGATTGACAGGGCCACTCTGGCCCAAGGACCCCCAGCCAACCATGCCGAATTGAAACATTATTTTTATAGATCTTTATGGCGACGACAGGGCAGTGGGGGGCGGGCCGTGCTGATAAGCATTTCTGGCCACAAAGGACATTTTCATAAGCACTGATACCGATTATGACACCAGCCAAAGACAAAGGCACCAAAATCATCCACCCTGAGCCCACCCTCGTCACCCTCGCCACCAAAACTGCTGATAAGCAGCCCGAAACTATAGCTATATACATGCATATATCCTGTATAGTGGCGCCCCCAGGGGCTGGAGGGGAATGCCCCATTCGGGCGTCCTCACATGTGCCCGAAATCGAAATCTATAAATGACTTTTATTGTTATGGCCTGTGGCGGCGGCATCTTGGTCCTGCTGGCTGCCGGCTCCTTGGATCCCAATCCGCATCCAATAAGACGGCAAACTTTTGCATCGTATATTGAAAAGATGCGCTATCTCCATGGCAAACTTTTGCGGTCGTCGCAGACAAAAGACGCGTGTTCCCTTTTAAAGTTTCATTAATCAATGGCTCGGGGGGTGGCTGTGGCTACGGCTGTAGCTTTTATTATTTCAATTGCGGAACGGTGCCCGGGGCTCAAAAATATGAGGCATCATTTATCAGCCCGCCCGCTCCAAGCCGCTCCATGCCGCTCCATGCCTTTCTGGTGCGGAGTGGCTGTCTGGGCTGTGGATTTCAAATTGGCAGCAACAATGCCGTGATTAATGGCCGTCAAAGCGAAAGAGTCAACAAATGTCAAGCGACAAACTGCAATTGGCAAACGGTTTGGCGTGAGGGGTGCGGGGTGGGGTACCGAATCCCAAAAAACCCATATACCATATGTATACCATATTCCACGGTATAAGTCCCTTGCCCCTCGCTGAAATGAAGGCCAACACACAACTGCGAGTTAATTTTTTCAAATGTTTGTTAATTACATTTATTGTTTCCTTTTGTTTTTGCTCTTGCATTTGTTTCATGTTTTTGTTTATTGTTTTTCGTTTTGTTTGCAAGTTCTTTACTATATTTTCTCTTTAGTTTTGATTTCTTTCATTCGCCATCGCTCTGGCTGCTTTAATTATTATTGTTTGCTGTCCAAAACTTGGATTATGGATTTGTTTTTAATGTATATGCACGTATATATAAGTCTAAGCGCAATTTATCTTACACTTTAGATATTTTTGATTTAACTTTATGCCTGCTCTCTAACAATACAGTACAATACAAAAAAAAATATTGGATAATCGCTCTTACTTATTTCCGATTATTAGCATATTACGATTTTTAACATAGTTTCGGTAATTCGATAGATAGGTAGTATTGTTTATCGCTCGTAGATAGACTGATGCTTATACACACACTTTGGTTTCTCCCGTACTTAGTATATTTGCTAGCTCCTTTCGAACGCTAATTACGCATATTGATTAGTGTTACATTAGATTGCAAAAAAAAGGATTAATAAATACACCCATATTGTAACTAGTTCGCTTGGTTATAGATATACACACGCACGCACACAAATCCTTAACTTTACATCGACCTATCTTAGGCGCTTTACATCTAACGCTGGATCACCGTGGATCGCGATCTGGCCATCGTCCGTCGTCCGTCGTCCATCGTCCATCGTCCATCATCCGTCATCCATCAATCCAGCCAGCTCTAGCTACTTCTATACAACGTTCGCCGTGGAAAGAACATTCTTTAGCCTCGCACTAAACTAAACTTAAATAATAATCAACAACGTTGCTCCAACAGACTTAAAATGGAATCAGAACAAAAATCATGTGTGCTTAAGTCGTGTGCAGAATGTCTCAATATTTACACATCAAAGTTCACTTTTGCCAATTGCCCTCTACCTGCTCAACTACCTCTACTCTATGATCCTGCGGCTCCTGCGGATTGCAAGGACACATGGAAAATCGAACATTGATCGGTGGGGATGTTTAGCTCTCTCGATTTCGCAGGTCCACAAATCCGATTCTCCTCCAGCCGCCTCTGTTTCACTTCACATTCATCAGTTTAGTCCTTCGTTTATTTTTTAACTTTTTGGCACTGCTTTGAATTTGTTTTGGCACCGCACGCTTCGAGCGTGAAAATAAAATTATTTATGCATATACATACGAGTAGATAAATACGAATATATCTATATGGTGGAGTATGTAAAAAAAAGGATCGCGCTAATAAGTCAACAGTTTACAAGGAAAATATGTACAGGTCTTAGTGGAAAGAAAAAAAAATGGTTTAAAAACAAATAGGGGGCTATTCTCGAATATAACTAAGTAAACATATTGTCTCTTAAATGTTAGGATCCAAAAATGTCAGCAAATTCAGCAAGTACTTTTGCGTAGGCTAACTAAACTAGGCCTTTAAAACTATAAAACTTGAACTCAGTCAAAGCAAACGAAGATTTGAATATCGATTCTGGATTTCTGTATCCTTTCCGCTAGCGTTTTCTCCCCCGTCGAATCCCTCAGTTGCGGTTGTAGAACTTTCTTTGGTAGCGCTTGCAGCCGCTTCCGATGCTGCCAACGCCTCCGCCACCGCCTGCGCCTCCACCTGGTCCGCCGGCGGATCCTGCTGCTCCACCGCCGCCGACGCCGACGCCGACGCCGACGCCGCCGCCCATGCCCAGGCCCAATCCCATGAGCTGTTGCTGCTGCTGCTGCTGTTGGTGATGCTGCTGATGCTGATGCTGGTGCGGGTGCTGGTGCTGATGCTGCAGCCCGAAGCCCGAGTAGAACTGCTGACTCGCCGCTCCCACTCCCACTCCCACTCCAACTCCAGCGCCGACTCCAGATCCCGTCACAACAGCCCCAGCGGCGCCCATGCCCAAGGCTTTATTTTAGCTGGACGCTCCCAGTTGATTCTTCATATGGGCAGCGGCGGCGGCGGCAGCAGCAGCTGCTGCGAACGGCGATCCACCGCCGGTTGGCGTCTGGGGGCCATTGTTGTTGTTGTTGTGATCGCCAGGGGTGCGCGGTCCATTGACCATGCCCACGCCATTCACACTGCCGCCTCCGGGTCCGCCGCCCAGCAATCCGCCAGCGGTATTCTGCGCCCCGGCCGCTCCCGTCGGCGAGCCCTGGCCCAAGGATGAGACGTGTCGCTTCAGCATCGGATGATTGGCCATCGAGGCGAAGACCAGGCGCTCCTCGTAGTCGTACTCGCAGAGTATCTTGTTCTCGCACAGGTAGAAGCGGTCGCCCACGCAGAATCTGAAATGGCCAGAAAATGTCAGCGTTTAGTACTGCGGCATAACAGGTCGCCGAGGAAGTGGAAACGATTTTTCCACACGCTTAGGCAGCCCCAGAAGGCGGTGGGGGCATCAAGTGCACAAAGACAACGGCGATGACAATTGACAGCGGTTATGACGACTGCATGAGCTGCCAAGCCAGCAACGGAGGAACTCGGGAACTCAGGAGCTGTCGTCTAAAAACAAAAGCAAAGCGCTTCCAAAGAACAAGCACTGCTACTCAGGAGTGTGCAGACAGGACAGGACGGGACCGGAACAGGACCAGGACAAGGAAGTCAGATAAGCGCTCGGCAATGTCGCTCCGCTGTCAGCAATAGTGGGCGTGGCACTAACAAAGAGGGGCTGGAGGAGGAGCCTCCACTTCGATGGAGTGCAGAGTCGAGAGTACATTCAGCGAACTGCAAATAAAGTTGGCTCCCGGCGAGCTCTGCTTCCTGGGCATGGAGCCCAGCCCCCAGCGCCCAGCCCTTTGTCAAAATATTTATGTTAGCACCTGCACCGAGTGGGCGGAGGCTGCCCACTCCGGCTCACAGCAAACAGTCACACTGGACTCCAACCGACAGGGAGCTGGCAGCACAAACGCAAGAGGGGTGACAAAAATGAGAAGGATACGATTCACTTGGGCATAAGATAGAGTCGCGCTAGGCAGACGACTGGATGTCCTTTGAAATCGGCTAAATCTGGTATTGAGAAGTATAAAATGGGTCGTACACACAGGCGGCAAAAGGTGCACGTTTAGGAGCAGTGCCACTCTTTCCTATCCTAACATATCCCGCAGATTCGCAGAGCTTTATCCATCTCATATCCTGCTATCCCGCTGCAATACTCTGCGCCCGCCTCCTCCGCCGGCGCATGCAAAAAAGAAACGTTTAAAGTTTGATTCCCGGAGGAGGAGCGGCACGGGAACACACTGCAACCATTTTGGTAAGGAGTCTGGGTAAATCAGCTTACAGCAGACTTACAGCGGATATGAAATTTGGCTTTTGATTTACGTCAACATTTTGTTGGCCCGCTGGTTTCGGTTGCGTGGCCAAATCGATTGACGGCCCGTGTGGGCGTGGCAGGGAGCAGTGCACAGAAATCTGGCCGGAGCGGGCAAAAAACGCTTTGTTTATCTACCAAAACAGGGCAACAAAAGTCGACGAAAAAGAGTCAACAAAGTTGAAACTTTTGCTTCTTTTGCAGCTTGCCTGGCATTGAGCGCACCTGTGACATGGCTGCGATGGATATGGCGATGGTGGTGATGGTGGTGATGGTGGTGGTGATGGTGATGGCTCTGGAAATGGACACGGACATGTTGATAAGTGAGTGCCTCTGTGCGGGACTCGCACATCCGGGCATTTCGTCCGCCTCCTCCGAATGCTGCCCCCATCGATCAGAAGAAACCAACAGAAAATTGTCAACAGGAAGTACATAGCGAAATAAAATGGGGGAAAAAAATTGTGAAAAATTCGCTTGGACGAAGGAATTGACTTGGCTGCGACTCCAATCGCAGGAGAGCAAGGACGACAGGAAATTATGCAAACCTCACAGACGACTGCAATGCATTTTGCAACATTTCCCAAACAGCAACAGGACTCAGGAATCAGCGGCAGGACTCAACAGGAAAACTCTTTTTGTTTGCCAAATGAAAGCCCGCATTTTAAATGTGGCCATCCGACCAACCAACAGGCTGGAGAGGAGCGGAGTGGAGCAGCCGTTGGCCATGCGGCCACGCCTCAATGGATTTTTTCGGCAATTGAATTAATTTACGTGAAAAATTGATTAGCAGCAGGAGGCGTTTTGTTTTCCTGTTTTTATTTATGAACAACGGGGTGAAATGTAGCAAAACTTTGCATTCATTCTCTCAATCTTTTCATATGCGGCTGGGCTAACTCTGCATCAGAGTTCCATATTCTAGTTCAAAGTGCGCCATCCAAAGTCAAATGGGTTAGGTAAATTAGCCATGATGACACCTTCGCGTAAGGGGAACTCCTCCAAGTTCGTTGCTCCTGCTACATTTTTAAAGGCAATTCTCGGCGAGGCGAAAACAAAGGCTCAGCATGAGCAAAAAGCAGGGAGATTCGGGTGGCCAAGCGGGTGGAGACGATACGATTCTCACAATATGCCAATATATTTTAACATTTATTTCAATATTTTTTTACCAGCCAGCACCGTGTGGCGGCGCTTTCAATATTTAATGCTCGCTCCCTTGTTGCGCTGCACAATCGACGACTATGCCGGAGGTTTCTGGTGGACCGGGAGCCACCGAGGCATATGTGCGCCCTCATTATTAATGCAGAAACCCGAAACGAAAACGAAACCAAACCAAACCAAACCAAACGAGCCGACCCCATCCACACAGGCAACCCAGGCAACAAGGCAACCAGGCTGCAGTTTAAAGCTCTCCAGAGTGACATTTCACGAATTGGCCAAGTCCAATAAAATATTTGAGGCCGTGGAATGCTGGGCGATGACTTGATGGCACCCAAAAGGGTTCGGTTCAATGCGAAATTTATGCGGTTTTCATAGAAAACGTATGACACTAAAGGGCCCTGCCCTGCCCACCCCGTTTGTTTAGCCGTTAGCTTGTAAAACGTTGGCAATTTGCTGGCTGGCGGCACGTTAATAAAACTTCAAGTGCCACTTTGGGCCCCCTTTCGATGGGCCAAAGATTAAAAAGGGATTCATGCAGCCACCTCCAATGCGAATCTCTGTGCAAATTGCCCATAAAAATGCATGCGAAATCGTTTAGACGCTCCCACATGGAGGATGAAGCATGATGGATGTTGGATGTTGGATGATGGATGGGCAATGGGCCAGTTTGGCCAGATCCGTTCGATGCTCACCTGTGGTTACACTGTTGACAGGCGAAGCACTCCAGGTGGTAGACATTGGTCCGGGCACGCATCACCATCTCGAAGGCCGGGATCACCTTGCTGCAGGCGGCGCAGTAGCCCGTGTTGCCGAACAATCTGTGTGGAAATTGGAAACAGGTTGTAATTTATATCCTTATTATATATATTAGGAAAATGGTCCTTATTTCTTGAACTATTATCTATGCTATCAAGTTTGCTAAGCGCTTAGGGTAGCATAGATACCATACTATATCGTTTAAAATGGGAATTACTCCCAGCATTTATCTGCTACAACTTCCAACTCTTCGTGCAAATCATAATTAACTCAAATAATCACATACTTCATCTTTAGCTACTAAGCCATAGGAATTATAAAGCACAGCTCTCAAGAAATGCTAACACTTTCAGCCAAGCAATCAGCAGCTATGAACTATTGTATACCATATATAGCTATACGGCACTATCAAATGGATGTACTACTTCTATTAAGGAAGCTAACCTCAAGTAGTCCCGCTTGCAGAGCATCAGGTTGCCCTTGGTGTAGAGCGTGGAGCCCACCTCGCCCAGGCGGCAGTCGCAGCAGCCGCACTTGAGGCAGTCCTCGTGCCACAGCATGTCCAGGGCGCGGAGGAGGTACCGGTCCTGGATGTGCTTGCCGCAACCGGCGCACAATTGGCTGCCGTTGTTGTTGTTATTGTTATTATTGTTGGCAGCGGCAGCGATGCTCTGGACATTCCCGTTGCCATTGTTGCCGCCACCGCCACCGGCACCGCCGGAGTTGACCACATTGACCACGTTCCCATTGCCATTGGGATTGTTCTGGCCGTTGTTCTGGCCACCGCTGTTCATGCCGGCGTTGCTTTGCTGCGATTGCTGCTGCTGTTGGTTGGAGGAAAGCCCGACGAGTCCGGGTTCGGTTTTGGTAATGTCCATAGTCATCATCTGCAAAAGGAGGAGATGGTTTCGTTACTCGAGGTTCCACTGCTGGACTTTAGTGTGTGTGTGTTTGTGTGTGTACATTAGCGCTACTCATTCCCTGCCAATAACCGGAGACGGGGGCCAGTCCGCACTGCCACTGATGGGCGTACTGCGGCACGGACTGCCAGAGGATCCCCTGCTGCTCCAGCTCCCTCGCCTGCACGTGGGGCACAAAGAACTTGTCCATGTTGTAGAAGTTGACGCGTTCTTCATCTTCGCATTGCACACTGGCATTGTAGAGGAACTCCATTTCGTTATTTCCCCCGATTTCGGCAATTTTCTTAGGAAAAAGGCCCGCGAAAGATCTGAAAGCTATTGCTTTTTGCGAGCAGTGTTGGCCAATTCTCACGGAACCGCCTAGTTCAGAGCTACAGCTTTGTACCGTTTCTGTTTCCCAAAATTGTACAGTGAGCGATACACAATAAAAAACATTTGAACGTAAACTCTCGCATACTACTAATTTCTCAGGAATGGCGTACAATATTAAGGGGAAATACTAATAAATGCATCGAATAGAGATAGGATTGCTTATGGGTAACAATTGTATTGTATTCTTGTCGAAACCAATTAATTTTTGTGCCAATTTGTTGATTGTACATTTCTCCAAGTGTCGGCCACTGGCAAAATGTAACGGCACTTAACAGCTGTGGCCGAGTGTTGTGAAATGCACACTGCTGCGGCGCCAGTGTGCGACAGATCTTTATTATTATGCAGCATACTTTTGGGCTCACCAGTAATGTGGATTTAGAATTTGCACATTAGTGCAGAATACTCGCAAACTAAGCAAATAATTTAACAATCTGCAAAAGTGTGATTTTCCGCAATAAAAGGGTGCAATATTCATTTGAAGTCTATTTTTTTTGCATAAAAAAATAAATACCTTCCACTTGGGCTCGTCCGGGAATTGAACCCGGGACCTCTCGCACCCGAAGCGAGAATCATACCTCTAGACCAACGAGCCTGGTTGAGCGGCCTGCTGCCAATCACCCAATATGAAGTCGCCGATCGCTCGCCGCACCTTCCCCTTCCGCTTGGCCCTTTCTGGCAATCTCGCCATTTTAGGGAATTGCATAGATTTGAGGAAATCCTACACTTTCTTAGAAGCGTTGTTGGGAAAATACTATTTAAATAAGATCTCATGATTGCTGGCTCGCCTTAAATAGTTTTCGCAGCCCCCAACATGGTATGTATCTCCAACTGTTGGCGCTCGATAACGTTGACGTTAACGGAAACCAGCAAAGCGAGCAGCCAACAACAAATCAATGCAAACAAAAGGCCCATTTGGCCGTACACAGTTTCGTGGAATGCCAAGTGGCGATTTAAAATAACGAGATTTATGACAAATTGGCGCCCCCCATCCCTTGCCACTGCTAAATAGTTTGTTGCAATGTGCAAATTTCAGCAAGAAGCGGGGCGACCCTAAAAATATGCAATGCCTCGGCCATGATGCACTCACTGCACTGCGAAAAACTGGGAATCTTTTCACATAATTATTGCCTTTTCACTAATTTTTGAAGAAGGTTGCAACATACAAAGCAAACAATTTTTTTTGGAGATCTGGTTGTTTCGGCACCCCGTTTTATACGTGTACTTTTTTGCAGTGTGTCGTTCGCTGCCCCTCGCAGCAGTTGGACACAAAATGTGTGCCGTGTCTGGTTCTGCCTTCGGCCGCCTCTCTTCTCGCTGATTGCCCTCGTCCGTGTCCGTGTCCGTTGTCCGTTGTCCGTTTCCCCTGTCCGTTGACCACGGCCGGACAAGCGGGCCAAATGGCTCGCATTAAGCCCTGCGCCATGTAGCGCCAACTGTGACCTCGACTTGACCACGACCTAGGGAGTGGGCGTAGGTGCAGGGGCTATGCAGCTGGTGGAAATGACTTTAATTAGACGGTCGCCTCCGATGCCCAATCCTCACTGCCCTCCATTGGAGGGGTTTCGAAAAGTCATCAGCAGTTGATGCCCGCCGGCCATTCGGGGGCTCCGGAATGCCAGATGGGTTGGTGCAAGTGTGCTCTGCGCCGCCGACTCATAAAAATTCAATCAAATCAATTTATGTAAATTTAACGCGACGTTTCAAACAATAACAGGACTGGACTGGTGGCCCGTAGGAGTGCAGGCATTGCAATGGGAAATGGAGGATGGCGGATGGCGGATGGAGGATGGCGGCTGGTGGACGGTGGATGGGGCATGCAGCGCATCAAAACTCAATTTTGGCAGCTGCAACATGCAACGCCAACATGCTCCCCGCCGCCTGGTCCACCGCCCACACAGACTGCATTGTTATTTAGTTTAGACAAATGAAATCGAATGCTAAACGGAATGCGCGCGTCCATATTAGATTTTCATTTTCAATTGCATTGCCACTACCAAGTGGGCGTGGCTGCATGAATGCTTTATCAGGCCACCGCCGCCATTCCCCGCCGCATTTCACCCACTGCAGATTCCTAGTTTTGCTCCGGTTTTTCTCTCTGTGCTCGGGCCGCTCAATTAATTTATGCATTACATTCCCACAAAATGCTTTTCAATTTGCATCCAATTTTGGAGCGATGCGGAGATAGGGCCATGGCAAATGATCTCGCTGCTGCTGGCCGTTTGATTGATTGATTGACTCACCCACTGACTGACTGATATGTAATTAGTTTAGTTAGAGCGCGATCCAAGTCTTTAAATCTAGCGCTGACCTCTGCCCAAGTTAGTCCATTCCTTTTGTACTTGCATATCAAAAGTTCTCATAATAGTGATGTTATACGTGCACAGGTGGATTAGTGATATTACATAGATTATTGATTGAAGGCACTGCTGATTTCGTTGGGAAATCCGGAATTCTTCCGCCTGTGGAACCACCCTGTGCGCCCCACATATCCGCTGCTCCTCCTCCTTTTCCCCGCAAAAGGCCTTTACCGAACTAATTGCGCGACCAACGACACTCATTAAAGCCAATCAATATTCAAATTTCACGTGCCAGGTGGACTGGTGGACTGGCGGACGGGTGAACTGGTGAACTGGCGGACTGGTGGGCGGTCCATCGTATTCCGGTCAGTGCTATAATACCCGGGCCACCTCCTGGCGGAGACCCTCTGGCGTTTTCACAGTTTAGTTTGCTAAGCGTAGGGCTGGCGGTGGGGGGGGTGGTTCGTTCCGTTCCGGACGAGGCGGTCTATAATTATGCATATGCATGTGACCCAAGTTAGTGGCAAGTTAAACCCTTTTTAACCCCAATTCGAGGCACAAAGCCCAGGGGGCGGGGGTTTTCTCCGCTGGAAATTATGGGCTTGCACGCAACTTAACGGAAGTTACTTGCTTACTGGCTTGGCCAACACCCCCTCCCCTCACCCACCTCCTTTCGTTTTACCCCTTTACCCACACAAGGCAAGCAAAACCTCTTGGAATCGAGCTGATTTCTGCGGTCAGTTATGTTTATGGTTTATTTATTTGGCCGCTGCAATTTTGTGTCACGTTTTATGCACCTTGCACTGGGGGTTGGCCGCTTGCTGAAGGGTTCTCCACTCGTGTGGAGCGCTTATAATGACACTAATTAGTGGCGGGGCTCTTGTGACAAACGCGCCAGCGGGCGGAAGCGGGTGGAGTCGGCTTGGAAAATGGGAAATGGAAAACCAGGCGGCTGAAATCCAACGAACAACAGCTGTGCGCTGCATCAGCCCCATCCTTAATTGGTAATTAATTTATTTTGCATAATTTTTCGCGCCGTCCTCTCTGATCCGCAGCCATGCACATTATGCCGCTGACATGTGAGGGGGGTGGGGCGTGGAAAATTGTGGGGGGGGTCCTGTGCGAAATTGCACATATATTTACTTTACGGACTTTGGCGATTCGCGGGGCCGAACGGTCACAAAGGTGTCAAAAAGTGCGAATTAAGTGCGAATAAACGTGCTGAGCGTGCAGCGGTGGAGACAGCCCGGACCACGCCCCCTGCCCCATCCAATCGGCCAGCCGCCCCTGCTGCACCACCCGCACCACCCGCACCACCTGTCTCGCATTGCGAAAATTTGCATCGAGTCACGAATAATAAATGTAAATTTAATTTGCATACGCAGCGCTGGAAAATCGCAGCAGTGGGAGTGGGGAAATATTTATAATGAAATTATGCGAATAAAAATGCCAAAAGGTAATGAGCGCTCCTTTGATCCTTTTATAATAATTGATTAAGCAGATGTGTAAGGACTTGAGACAGTACTTACATCATCGTACATATTTAGTGGCTGTGTTTTAGTAGTAATCTGTGCTTTTGCCTTAAATTTGGCAGTAACTTTAATGCAAATCGTTATAAAAACAGCGCCACACACGCTCGCCGGCATCCAATTCCATTTGGAATGTCCTTTGGCCATGCAAGGCTTCCCAGGACGACCGCCCACCCAGCCGCCCACTTTCCAGGCAAACTTATGCACAACAAGAACAAATTACCAGCAACAAAGGCTGAGGTAGAAACAAAAAGCCCCAGGAAAAAGGAATGAAAAACGTCAAGTACGCGACATGAAAACTAAAAACAAAGCCACGACCATGGCGCAAAACAACAACAAAAGTATAAATAACGAGAGGGAAAATTAAAATAAAATATAAAGAAAGGCAAGAAAACAATCAAAATTCATTTTTAATTTTTATGCCATAAAAATGCAAACGAAGACGCGGTCCGAAGGCGGATGGGGTGCGCTGAAGTGGGGAAATGGTGAAATGGTCACCAAAACGCCCGGGCACGAAGCTCCTCATTTCCAGGACGAGCACCAACCAGCCAACCCATCGCCCAGGTGGATGGGGATGGAGATGGAGTTGGGAGGATGGGGAGCATGGAAACATGTTGCGCAACAAGGCAAAAACGTCCTGTAACGGTTGGGACATGTTTTATGCCATTTATATTGTTTCTCCCGGACTTATTATTTTTTCTCGTTGGGTGAAAACTTTCAGGGGTTCTTCTGCCCCCGCTGCGGCCCGTGGAAAATTGTGAAAGGAGCC